AAACAAATGACCTCATCAGATCCGATAAGTCCAGGTGACAAACATCCATCTTCGTCTATCGCTAAACATATACTAGAAACTAACCATAGGATAGACATGAAAACAGCATTTAAAGTACTGCATAAAAGTGGTCAGAGCCGAGTGCTTAAATTTATTGGAGCTCTTGCCATCTGTACATTTAAACCCCCTTTATGTATACAAAAACGATTCGTACTCACGTTGAAATTACAATGGTGGTGTATTGATTTTAATTTTCATACCAAGAGTAAGGTTTTTCCTTCTTTTTTTTCTATCCCTTCCTATTCCTATGTTTCCTATTAACTTCATTGACCTTTTTCGTAAATTTTCACATAAATAGTTCGACAAGTCCGTGTGTGATCAGATTGTTCGAAATGTATAGCGCTAATACATCACACGTTTCAGATAATCTTCGTCTTCTCATTATGCTGTTTAAATGCAATTTCTATTATTCAGATATTACTCTGAATGTTTTTATCCCTTTTCACTATATATTCGCAAATTTATAGCAAATGAGAATGATTTCGTCGAAAAGAATTCTTTTCTTCGCTCCAATCGCTTTTTGTGTTCTCTTTTAAGTAGAAAAATATATAAGCGAAATCTCTAATGTGAAATGTTAAAAAAAATATGCCACGACTCAGTTTTAGCCAAGAAAAGCCGGATTACATACTGTCAGTTTCCTTTTAGCTTATCTTGAAGTACAGAACAAATTGTACAGCCGTGTCATGATATATATATATATATATATATATATATATATATATATATATATATATATATATCTTTACAGGACATATGTGTATGAGAGAGGGACATAATGCAATCACAATGTGACTCTGATAATGAGATATCACCGTGACTAATTGACCTGCTTACATTTTGATCTACCAAAAATATTTCATCGAATTGCTTCTTTTTTTAACTTGTTTTAACCACTCAAATGTTGACTAATTGTAGAACGTACTCTCTCATACTCTAAAAATATCTTCAGTTTATCGAAGACTGCAAAGGTATTACAGTAGACGGTAGTTGACCTATAAACTCACAAAAGTACATATTATAGCTATTACAGGAACATGCAGCTGGGACAGCAAATTTTCCTACTGGATGAATAAAGCTCCATCACTGATGAGAGTATAGAATGGCAGTCAGCTTTCTACCTCAACTTCACTGACTTTGAAAAAGCCCTCGACAGCGTCGATCGAGAAGTTATTTGGCAGTTGCTTCAACACTACGGTTTTAGTGACATAAACCTTCATCAATCTTATTCTACAGCTTTGTGAAGACGCCACATGCCAAGTGATCCACAATAGAAAGCTCAGTAACGCCTTTGAAGTGAAGACAGGAGCAAGAGAAGATTGCCTACTATCCATCACCAATGATCTTCTAGAGTGTGGTGGACTGGATCACGCAGCAAACCGTGAGGAGCGAGAAGACGGGCATACGCTGGCTGGACCGACAAGAGACCATAGAGGATTTGGATTTCACCGATGATTTATGTCTAATGTCTTGTTGCACAAACTCGAAGATCTACAAACGAAAAATAACAAGTTGACAGGAGAGGAGCGAAAACGGGACTTCAAGTGAATGTAAGGAAGACAAAGGTGGTGAAGATACCCAACCAACAACAGCATCAACAAGTGGCACCAATCACCATCAACGTGAGAACCTAAAGGGAGTAGTCTTATTCACTTGCCACTCAGGCAGCATCGTTTCAACTACAGGTGGCACAGACGATGATGTCAAAACCAGCCAAAATCGGAAAGACAGCAAGACCGGCCTTCCTGCATTAATCTGAAGTAATCAGTATGATCTACTTCACTGCACTCAGCGCAAAAAACAAGATCCGGGTTTTGAACATCAATGTCAAGTCAGTGCTGCTATATGGCTCAGAAACTTGGAGCGTTACAAAAAGCATTTCTAACAAACTACAGACATTTATCAACAGCTGTTGTCTACGCTCACTCGATACTGAGGATCAGATAGCCAGAAAGAATAAGTATCAAGGAACTCTGGTAACGAACCAACAAAGCAAGTCTTCATCGCCCAACAAATATGCGGAAGAAAGTGGAGATGGGTTGGGTGTGCAGTGAGAAGGCCGATTGGGGACATAATGCGCCAGGCCATCGAGTAAAATCCAGAGGGGAAACGACAAGTTGGGCATCCCAGCTGAGGGTGAAATAGAGGAGATCTTTTGCGACGAGATGAAAGGTTGTGGGCAGTCTTGGAGCCAGGTCTAAAAGACTGAGGAGAAGAGAGTGTACTGGCAATGTTCCACTAGAAACCCAAGGGAAAATAATAATACTAAGTAACGCTAAACTTACTTGCACTTTTCTATACAACGTACATCCAACAACATATAAACTACGTGGTGACCTAAAAACTACTGGTTGTATTCACTGAAACCTTTCATATTGTCAATTTTACCGTCATTTAACTGCTTCAGTTTTATCAGTGGCAGAATATTGCACAAGAAGTAAACTTATTAAAGTATCACACTGATAATTCCAAACTGTATCACAAGTTATTAGCCCGAATAAAGTGATTATTATTACTTAAATAGGTCTTTAACCTGATTCATTACCAGACGATTTCTTCATCTTAATTGGTGGATATAATAGCTTTAAAATTATCACTGACCAACAGCCTGTGCTTTAAAGTTTTGAAAAAGACGGCATTTCAAATGTAGAGGAAACGTCTCAACATTTTTACAAGCTTCATTTAGCATTTCAGCCTACATCCAACAGAAGGTTATCGTAAACAATTTCACTTCTTGAAGTACTGCGGACGAAAAGAAACGACGGAACAGCAATGAGCGCTATGAACACAAAGTTGACATAAAGCTGATAGCATCCTTTCAGAACCAACCATACGGATACAAAGAAGACATTATTCTTAAATCTAGAGTTCATAGTGAGTAAAGCTGTTGATGCTTTGCAAAAATCTCTTCAAAGAATCGATTTGCAGGATGTTTCATGCATATGAACGTATAATATTTCATAGTCACCTTCTAATAAAATTCAGCTCAAAGCATAAAGCAGTGTCGTTCACTGACCACCTTATTGTAACGTTACAAATTCATCTGCTTGCATGATGCTAGGCATAAATGGTATCCATTTAGCGTCGGTAGTATAAGCATAGGTCTATCTTTCGAGGTATTCGAAAATATCTTGCAGTATATTTAAGTAAATGGAATTGCAGGTCAATGACATTATCTATTTAACAGCATATGATAAATTGAAGCCATTCACTTTCAAACTTCTCTTAAATCAACCGATGCTTGCTAAACGTTTACACCAGGACTTACTATTCAGTTCGACTTTTCAAATTTTATCTGCAGACCTATTCATACAATGATAACTCATCTCTAAATGGCTTTCGTTACCATAGTTCTGTTATTAGCAAATAACTGCTGCTATCCAGCAAACTTTACTATCAGTCCTTGATTTATTGAATTTATTCAAATAAAATCCTACTTTGAACAGCGTAATGAGAAGACGAAGATTATCTGAAACATGTGATGTATTAGCGCTAAACATTTCGAACAATCTGACTACACATGGACTTGTCGATAATCTTCGACTTCTCATTACTCTGTTTAAATTTATCAAAGGGACCAGTTGCTTTGAATCCTACTTTGTTTTTCCTATGCTCTAGTAAGTATTCTCTTGATCACCATGCATATCATTTTACAGTTTCTGTCAATCATTAGCGTCCATTTTGTTAACAGATAAAACTCTTAGAATCCAGGAATATTTGTGAAACAAATAAATCATTGTACGACTAGTTTTCAGGATGATAATAAATGATAATAAATTAGAAAAAAACCAATCAACATACGATGCATCAGTGGTTATGCAGAAAAATATAATTTTAAGATATGATAAGATCAGGAAAAATGAGGTATGAATAGTCTGACCGAAGTGATTTATATTATGAGAAAAAGCAGGAAAGATAAGATCGGATAGATGACTACATCAATGTCCTATCTATACTGTCAACAATTCATGGCAATGACAAATATAGGGTCAGATAAGTTTTCCCTTTTAAGGACATACATTTTTCATAAAAACATATTTTGGAAATCAGTTACTCATTCATATCATAAACTTTCAACTTTGAAAATGGTGAGGAATATTTGCAGCTCAGGTGGTGATTTTCGTAGTATTGTGTTCTCTGAGCTACCTCAACTGTTTAATCATCAAGCCTTCATCGTCTTGCTAGACAACATCATCACCACTAACTTCAGGATGAAGTGAGCTGTCAATATCTCTCCACGAGTGATTTAGTAGCTTGCCCCAAACAACTGGTTTATGATCCGTTGTTTCCTTTGATTGCTGTGTCATTCACTGCATATATTGTCCTGTTGACTGTTCCTCTACTTCACCTCTCACCTCCCTGTCGTTTATCATCATTCTCATTACCCGATAGATTGGCTCAATGTCTATACATCTGTTGGTTGCTGACTAACTCATTCCTGAATGACGAGCTTCTAGGAATTCTCTCATATTCTTTGTGTTTCCTCTCTCCGTCCAACATGTTTACATTGTCCAAATTGAATTCATGTGCATAATTATCCACATGTATTGAAATGAGTGATGGAATGTCGTGTGTGACATTTAATAGCCAATTGTAGTTGATGTAGAGGAAGATGAAGAGGGTGACCACTTTGTCCAATGCAGTGTTGACTACAGTTAGCTATTGCAGTTGATTTTGCAAATGATATTCGGTTTGTCTTCTCTGATTTTTGTTGCATTCTTTGGTCTGAATTAGAGGGTTTGAAGGAAAATTGTTAGTTTATGAGCCACACCAATTCCACGAAGTGGTCTCAGTAATCTTGTCCTTTGTAGTTGGTGATATCGTCATGCTAGACGATAAAAGCTCTACGGTTTAACAACCCGGCTCAGAGAAAACAATTTGACCAAGACTTTGAACTGTAACATAATTTTTAAATATGCAGCTTATTACATCCAAATTTACAGATGCTAAGGATGATATTCAACGTGGAAAAGGAATCGTAAGGGTTTTCAGTGATAGAAAAAGTTGGTACTTGGTTGATACTCCTTAACTTGAAATTAATTTTTCAGATAAGCATAGTCAAATCAAGAATGCACTTACTTCTGTACAAGTAACACTGCCAAATATGTGCACCATATTGAATCAAACACGCGGACTGGTAAAATGGATATTACTGATCGAATGACATTATAAAGGATCAAAAGAGTATATAATATGTATGCAGTTATGATGGAAATCACTAAACTGAAATTGTTGTTGAACTTTTTATTAAAACTCTGTTTTCTTTTATAGATTTATTAAATTGTGTCAGTCTGTATTTACTTCTCATGAACTTGATCCTAAGAAAGTGTCGAAAACTTCAATTAGCTTAAACTTTTCAGAAATTTTATGAGTAGGAGACAACCTTATCAGATGGATTTTCGAATTAACGCGCACTCAAGAAATTTTTGAATGTTAAGATCAACATACTGCAGGAGACATATTGAAACACTGCAATAATAACCACCTAATCCCCAATTTCATTGTCTATAGAACATATTTTAAAAGAACAGTTGCTATTGGCGCTATTGTTGAAGAACACTATTGGCTGCTTCAATCATCGGGATTTCTTCAAGTTGTAATTGAGCAGCATAATCATAGCTCTATCTAGAACCGTAACTTGAGGCCGTAAGAAGCAGCTAAAATTTCGAGGTTTGTACTTTCCTGAACTTCAGAGGAATTATTTGACACGATCTTTCAAACAACCCGGTTTGTTTTACTACCATCTACATTGTAAAGTTTTTTCACTTTCCCCAAACTTGTCTTCTTCTTTTGACACCTACAGATGAAATGTCCGTAGCCGACCAGTATCCCAAGTCTTAATAGTTAGGTTTTCCATGATACCATATGAGCTAAACTTACAATATAAGGAATAAAATGAGACCGTCATACAAGTGTCTGTTGAACTTATCTGAAATACTGGACAAAAAACGCTTTTTGAGTCAGTCCTCCTCTGAAGGTCAAAGATAATTAATACACATAATCCCCTAATAACTGTGAGTCGTCATTTGCATATCGTCAAACTATCTAACCTATGGACACAGTTGGGCTAAACTCCGAATCTATTCAAACCGGTTCGTTTCTTATTAAAGACATCAGTGATGACAATTAGGCTTATACTGCATTACTAAGCCACTGTCAGAAGCACACCCAAAACTGTGATAAGCTCAGCTGTAAAATAGCAATATGAAGGACATGATAACTGTTCGCCATTGTAAAAATGACTCAAAACATTACCTCGAACATGGTTTTCTTCCCACAATACACAATATAGTATGGTTACGTTTCTCTGTGTAGTTCTGCGTGCAAAATGTCTGATATATTTTCTTCTAATCTTCCCTGAGGATAGAAATGGAGAGAAATATGAGTGCAGAGGATGCCTGTCACCAGACGAAACACTTCAACTGGCTGTCTACAACAGTTCAGACACTTATACAAAACCGCACTTATCAGTATGGTCAGGTGTATACTACTCACTGACTCTACTAACAGCCTTCAAAACCCCACGCAGTTCATCTCAAGCTTTTTTTCACCTTCCAGAAAAGAATAAGTAAATATGTTTAAAACACAGGAACTGACAAAATATGATAGTAGAAACTAAGTTATGCCAAAGACTGAGTTTCCTGTTTATAAAAGGCAAAAAAACCATCCTGGAAATCAATAGAATGTGACAGCATCAATAAATATTTAGAGAACACCATAAGCTTAGCTGAATCACACTTGATATATTCTGTACAAAAGAGTTATCAGTATGACAAGAGTTATGGGATTGAGACGATTTTCATGTTTCAGGTCAACACTAACCATTTGACATTCTGAGACAGGGAGTGTGAGGCCACTCAAGGAAGACCGGTGACCGATTTCCATCGATAAGTGAATAAAGTGAGAATAATCTGAAGAGTAGGTGACCAGCGTGGATACTATTATATCATCTGTCTACTTAACAACTTAGGCAAATTTACGTGTCATGTAGTTGTTAAATAGATATTTGTCAGTATCAGGTTCAGTTTGTTCAGTTAAGGATAAGAAGAATGTAACGTCGGTATGTTTCTTCAGTTATATAAGTCTTTGTCACAACTCGAACAAACCGTAATGACAAACATGAGTAACGTCATATATGAGAAGAAATAAATAATTATCAACTTGGTTGACTTAAAAGAGGACTTTATGCTATTCCAGTTAACCTTAGAATCAAATACATGAACAGATGATTTACTACCTGGTATTTATTGCTAGATGGTAATTTTGAAAACGAAGTAAAAATAATTAAGGCTAATTACAAATTTCCATCATTCTCACAATAATATTCGGGATTCATTTAATGATGGGCATAGTTTTAAGTACTCATTTCACTTCCTCTTCAACTAAATTATCTTTCACTTTCATAATGAATTTTCCAGTTAAACAAAAATAATCTATTTTTTAGAATAACTGCGTGGCATTTCATCGCCTTTTTTCAAGTGAATAAAAATTACAAGAAACATAGACGTTTGAAGAGAGAAATGTATTCAGCATACCTCTGTTCAGGAAGTCAAGTATCAGCTCTCCATTCGATCCACTTGATAAAAGTGCTGTAGCATGTACATGCAAACTGTAAAATGCCTTTTGTTGGTGACATAAGCTTTAAACTTATCAGGGTTTGATTGCCATAGTGAACACTTTGTTTTGTTTGCTTAAGGAACCTAAGAAGCTAGGAAAGTAACTTTTTGAGGTGCTGTTATTCCACTAATAACTCTGTTCCTCAGATCGTCTCTTTGGAAAGTCAGATTATAAAATATGGTTTTTTGTTTAAGTTATTGAGTCCAGATAACTCCGCTATTAAATTTTGAGGGAGTTGTGGAGATTTGGAAATATTTCAAGTTGTTATTCATCGTAGACTGACATCAGTTGGAGGAAGAAAGAAAACCTGGGAGCACTGGACAGCTGTTTCGTCCTAGTATGGGACTCCTCAGCAGTGCGCACCCACGACCCCACCAGCAGGGATCGAACCCGCGACCTTCAGGTTCCGCGACCAGCGCGTTACCATTGAGCCACTGGGTCAGAATCCAATGCTCCATATTTCCAACTTCTGTTAGCTAACCTGAAGGTCGCGGGTTCGATCCCTGCTGGTGGGGTCGTGGGTGCGCACTGCTGAGGAGTCCCATACTAGGACGAAACAGCTGTCCAGTGCTCCCAGGTTTCCTTTCTTCCTCCAACTGATGTCAGTCTTCGATGAATAACAACTTGAAATACCTCCGCTATTCTCATTTCTAACTAAAAAAACTCAAGGGTGACTCTCCTTTTTCAGATACTGAATGATGAAGTAGGATTCTTCAACCACTTAATTTGAAGGAAACATTTCTTAGGCTTGTGAAGTAGAATCTTGATATATTTCTTGCTTACAACTCATAGGACAGAAACCATATAAATAGAGACACTATAATTTCTATGTTTCCTGTTTCGAGATAGATTTCTGAAATGATATGTCTCATCTCTGTTACCATCACAAGTTCAAAAAATGAAATCCAAGGTTTTTCTCATGTTCCCCGGTAAATTAAATAGTACTGTGAAAAATATTTCTACCATATGTGTGGTATATGACATATAATTACACTAAAACGTGTCATCACTTTACCTATTGTACATTTAAGTCTGTCACTTGTACCCAATGTAGTTTACTCTAATTCTATTTTTACTGATTTATTAGGTTTATCATACAGTGTAACGATATTGTTTACTGGATTATGTTTCGGACATAATTTATTTTCCATAGTCATATCAAGATAACTACACAACTTTGAAATATCCTTTATATAGTCCTAATTTCCTCGTATGTTTGTTAGATAAGTAGTAAGATTTTTCATTAGGACTATTAGGACCATCAGGCTTATATAAAGGATATCTCAAAATTATGTAGTTATCTTGATATGACTATGGACCATTAATTATGTCCGAAACGCAATCCAGTAAACAATACTGTTACACTGTGTAGTAAATCTAATAAATCAATGAAAATGAAATTTCATTTTACTACAGTGCACAAGTTTTACTTTTATAGTTTTCTCTAAGTCTGTAATGAACATATCTTCATAAACACACTTCAAAGGGATTCTCAATGCCACTCAACCTGTTTGACAAAATAATTCATTGTCAACTTAGAGTAACACATTATTAGTGCACAAAAATAGTGGCTTCTTAAGTTTCATCCTTATGATGTCTATTGTTCTCTCTTGAGGTGTGTTAGTAAAACACACTGATATGACATCAGATACCAATAACTTATCTCCAGTATCTGTTCCATTTATACTCTATCCAAACTCATGTTTTTCAAATGGGATTGAAATGACTCACCAACTATTAAGGAAAATTTTGGCAGGGTGAGTTGATCAATATACAAAATTAGTCCAGGAATAAGGGCTTGATTTATGAAGATCTTTGTCCGTATATACACAACAACTGTGATCCTCAAATTTTCAGCTGCTTAGTTTATCAACTTTCGACAGGTTTCTTCCTCAGTAATTCTTTCAGCTCCAAAGTTGTTCTATTCTCTGTTAAATAGATTGTATATCTATATGACTTCACGGGCTTAAGCCATGATTTATCTCCCAGAATATATAGAATCTTTTGATAAGCATCAGTCAGTCATCGCTTCGAAGACATATTGAAGTCTCAGGATGGTTTTTGGCCACGATTTTAGTCTGAGGTGACGTTGATATACCATATCAGTTGACAGTACCTACCAATCTAGATTTCAAGCAACGCGAAAATATTTTCGCGTTAATTCCCAGAAAATTAGATCAATGAGTTAGTCGATCATTGGAGATAAATAAGTTTCTTCTGCAGTTTGTTGAATCGCTTGATTTTTAATTGTAACTTGGAAGTATATTGTGAAAAAGCTTACTTCTGTGGGATTTATTCGGCCCAATAACAAATTTATATGAATATTGTGCTACTTCCTTAGTACACAGTTTGCTATCTGAATGGTTGCCGAGCCACTGGATTGGAATCCAGTGGCTTACATTTCCCACTTCTGTTAGTGAACGACATGGCGCTACCTTAATTCATTGCATCGTTAAATAACTGTCCTCACGTATGACTTGGTTGCCTCCCACCCCCAGGTCATGACTTCTCATCGAAACTTCAAAAGTCTCATCTTGAAGCAAGTCTTTATACAGCAGTAGAGTAGTTCACTTTGGAATATGATGATGAAAATCAGCCTGAGCTCAATAAAT